AGAGGAGAGAGAGAGATTAAGGAATTGAAAACTTATTTGAAGAAATAATTACAGAAAACTTCCCTAACCTAGTGAAGGAAATGGATATTCAAGCCCGGGAAGCACAGAGAGTCTCAAACAAGATACACCTAAAGAGGCCCATGCCAAAACACATAATTAAAGTGCCAAAGGTTAAAGACAAAGAAAATCTTAAAAGCAGCAAGAGAAAAGCAGTTACCTACAAGGGAGCTCCCATAATACTGTTAACTGATTTCTAAACAGCAACTTTGCAGGCCAGAATGGATTGGCAAAAAATATTCAACGTGATGAAAAGGAGGGACCTGCAACCAAGATTACTCTATCCAGCAAAACTATCATTTAGAATCAAAGGACAGATAAAGGGCTTCCCAGACAAGAAAAAGCTAAAGAAGTTCATCACCACCAAACCAATAATTACAAGGACTCTTAGAGGGACTTCCTTAAGATGATTGATAAATAAATAAATAAATAAGATGGCAGTAACTACATATCTATCAACAGTTATTTTCAAAGTAAATAGATTAAATGCTCCAATCAAAAGACAATAGCATGGCTGAATGGATAAGAAAACAAGACCCATACATATGCTACCTACATAGACTCACTTCAGATTGAAAGAACACAAAGACTGAAAATAAAAAGTTGGAAAAGATATTTCATGAAAATGGAAACAACAAAAAAGCTGGAGTACCAATACTTATACCAGACAAAATAGACTTTAAAACAAAGAAAACAAACAAGAGACAAAGGACCTAGTAATCCCACTTCTGGGTATTTATCTGAAGAAACCCAAAGTGCTACTTTAAGGGGACCTGTGCATCCATAGATTTATTGCAGCATTATTACAATAGCCAAGATGTGGAGGCAATCTGGGTTTTCCTGAATGGATGAATGAATCAAGAGGAGTTGGTACATATATACAATGGGAAATTACTCAGCCATAAAAAAGAAGGAAATCTTGCCACCTGCAACAACTTGGATGGACCTAGAAGGTATTATGCTGAGTGGAGTATATCAGACAGAGAAAGACAGATGCAATGTGATTTTGCTTACATGTGGAATTTAAAGAGCAAAATAAAACAAAACAGAAAGAAACTCAGATATAAAGAATATTTTGGTAATTGTCAGATAGGACAGGGTTTGGGGGTGGGTGAAAAAGGGGAAGGGATTAAAAAGTACAAATTGGTTGTTACAAAGTAGTCATGGATATGAAGGGTATAGCAAAGGGAATGTAGTCAATGATATGGTACTATAAATTATATAAATTATATACTATAAATTATATAAATGTCCAACCACTATGCTGCACAATGGGAGTTAATATAATATTGAGTATCAGCTATAATTGAAAAAGTTACAAAAGGGGGAGAAAGGTATAGGGGAATAGAGGTTCAAATTTCCAGGTATTAAATAAGTCAGGGGGATGTAATGTACAGCATAGGAAATACAGTCAATAATATTGTGATAGCGTGGTACAGTGTCAGATGGTTGCTGGACTTATGGTAATCATTTCTTTGGATATATAAATGTTGAATAATTATGGTGTACACCTGAAACTAACATATTGTATGTTAGCTATATTTTAATAACAATCTTTAAAAAATAAAAATAATTTAAAAAATTAAAAATAAGCATGTAAAAAGAAAGACTAGAAATAACAAGTGTTGGCAAGGATGTGGAGAAAAGGGAATCTTGTATGCTGTTGGTGGGATTGTAAATAGGTGCAACCACTATGGAAACCAGTATGGAGGTTCCTCAAAAGATTAAAAATAGTACTACCATATGATCCAGCAATTCCACTTTTGGATATTTATCCAAAAATGAAAATGCTAACTCAAAATGATGTCTACACCCCATGTTCATTGTAGCATTATTTACAATAACCAAGATATGGAATCAACCAAATTGTCCATTGGTGAATGAGTGGATAAAGCAATTGTGGTATATATCTAAATATTATTTAGCCATAAAAAGAGTGATATCTTGCCATTTGTGACAACATGTATGGATCTCAAGGTCATTATGCTAAGTGAAATAAGTCAGACAGAGAAAGATAAGTACTATATGATTTCTCTTATATGTGGAACCAAAAAGACAAAAAACAACAAAAACAAACCCAAGCTCATAGATACAGAGAACAGATTGTTGGTGATTGTCAGAGGGGGCTAGGAGAATGGGAGAAATGGGTATAGGGGGTCAAAAATTTTTTAAAGATAGGACAAAATACATTCCTGGGATTTGGGGGAGGGGTGAGAAAACTATGAAGGGGACATAGTTCAGGAACAAGTATCTGGGAGAGTGGATGACAAATATCAGTTTGATCAGTCAGTGGAACCCATGAGGGTACAGAGGAAGATGTTTATTTATGAGTTGGGGCAAAAGCCAGTGCTCTGGCTGAGTGAAAGCTGGGAAGGAATGTTTGGGGGAATAGCCCAATATCCCAATAGAATCTAGACCCTGATCTAAAAGAAGAAAAAAAAAAAAGACTGACTATATCAGGGATTAGTGAGGATGTGGAGTAATTGCACCTCTCATACACTGCCGGTGGGGTACAAAATGGCACAACCACTTTGGTATTTTCTTAAAAACTTAAATATACACCTACCACCATGCTACTCCTAGGTATTTGCCCAGGAGAAATGAAGGCACATGTTCATACAAAGATGTGTACATGAAGGCTCCAGCAGCTTTATTTGTAGTAGCCACAAACTGAAAGCAACTCAAATGTGGACAACAGATGAATGGATAAACAGTCCAGGATGCACTGCTCAGTAATAAGAAAAAGATGAACTACTGATACACATGCAACCGAGGTGAACCACAAAATAATTATGCTGAGTGAAAAGAGCCAGACAAGAGTAAATACTGTTCTGTTCCATTATATAAAACTCTAGAAAACACATACTAATCAATAGTGACAGAAAGCAGACCTTTCTGTTACAGTTTAGGGGTCAGGGAATACAAGCAGGCACATGGGAGGAATTACCAATAGGCAAAAGGAAACTAGTGGGAGGGGTGATGATGGATATGCGTAAGTTCACTATCTCGATTGTGGTGATGGTTTCATAGTTGTGTACATATGTAAAAACTTAATCAAACTGTACTCTTTAAATATGTGCAGTTTATTGTCTATCTTATTACTCTTATAGCAGTTAAACTTTACACTCTTTGGCAAAAAATATAAAATTTTGTATTTTGTTTCATTGAAAATCCAAAAACCTTGCTTACAGAGTTATTTCTTTATCTCTAATATAAATATTCTTTAAGAAATATTTTGTCCTTTCTTTAATCTGAGGTTAGCAGATAAAAAAATTCAATCCGAGAACTTAAAAGGTTATTACTTTGATCTTGAAAGCCATTAATGAAACTCAAAATGTGCCATGAAGTCTATAATGAAAACAGAAGTGAGAAGGAATTCCATAAAAAGTGACTTTGGTAATAAGTCACAAGTTATGTGAAGCTAAGATAGTTGAACTCTACCCTCCAGGGTGTAGTGAGTAGATACAAAGGAATAGAATGGAAAAAGCCTTGTTAATGGTTAATGTGTCTTTCCACTTCTAGACATATTCTTTCCAAAATCTTTTAAATTCTCTTCACCTTAATTTCATCTGTTAAATTGAGGTAATAATATCTGTACTCCCTACCTTAAATGTAGTCAAAGGAATAGGACCATTGATTTGAAATTGTCCTCATTCATTTACATAAAAGAGAAAAGACAAGAAAGTTGCTATTTCTGCAGCAAATTTGTTTTGCCATTGCTTCCTCGAGGGTATTTCACTACAGACATGTACTCATATAGAAGAAAAACGACAGAAATGTTCCCATTAAATAACGATGTTAAGAATGGCCATCAATCTTCTGTTTTAAATATACTTACGAGTAATTGCTTTGAAAGTAAAGGTAACTGCTAACGGAACTTGTGAATACCCCACCCTTTTTTTTTTTTAAAGATTTTATTGGGGAATTGGGGGAGGGGAACAGCGTTGGGGAATCGGGGAAGGGGAGCAGACAAGTTGCTGTCCTTTTGTTCTTCAGTCTAGTNACAAGTTGCTGTCCTTTTGTTCTTCAGTCTAGTTGTGGAGGACGTTGCTTCACTGGCCCATGTTGGTATTATCATTGCACTCTTCCCAGGTGAGGCAATCACTCGCCGGCCATTGGACCGCCGCTCACGGCGGCTCACGGCAGCTCACGCTGGCTGCCAGCTACTCATGGTAGCTCATGGCAGCCCACTGCAGCAGGAGCTGCAGCCTACACTGTCACTGGCAACTCACGGTAACCCAGCTCCAGGTCGAGCTGTTGTTCACCATCTTAGCTGTAGAGGGCGCAGCGTCACTGGCCCTCATGTGGAATCCGAACCGGCACCCTGTTGCTCAGAGCTGGCGTCCCAAGCCAAGTCTTAACTAACATGCCATTCGGCCAGCCCGTGAATACCCTTTCTTGATAATTAATCCTAGATATCACTTTTAGAATACAGTTTTTAATTTTTAATGGTTTTTCTGCAAATATAAATTGAACCAGAGGTCAGAATATGACATACATTGAACTGAACCTTTTTTTAAACTTACAGTCATTTGTGCAAGTGTTAATATTTATCAAACCTGAAAATGCGCCATCAGGCACAACATCAGTGCTTTCCTTCAGATAGAATCAAATATGTCTCTACATTGGTTACATATGGAAAGGAGGTAGTGAAGATTTGGGGCGAATAAATATTTGTATTCACAACAGGGTTTAATTATTTGCAAAGCTGTTTCATAGTATCAAATTGGAGAGAAAGCTGAAACATCATTATAATTTCTGCTCATTTGTTCTAAGCGCAATCTAACTAGGATCTGGTTCATAGCATCTCTTGATTAACCTATCGTACAACTCAGTTTGACAGAATATTGGAAAAAAGTACAGCTCACCATTCTCATTTGTTCTTAGCATCATGCTTTCATGGCAATTTCCAGGTTAGTATTTTTACTGATGTTTCTACATAGATTGCAAAATTGGGAAATCTTCTAGAGTCAAAAGAAGACCACTGCAACAGACTCATTGAAGAAAATGACAAGTATCAAAACCATTTAGGCAACTTAATAAATAAGGTACACATTTTCTTACAGAAATATTTGTCTTTTAAAAACTATGCCAAATATTAAAATAATATAATTTTGGAGCTAAAAAGGATCTGAGGGATGATGTAACACATTTATATTGATTTGCTTTTACTTCATAATGACATTATAAAACGTCCCCATTAACGTCCCCGTTAGCCTTTTAGCTGAAAGCTAGCAAAGAACATTGTGTGTATCTACTCCTCTGTGCCAGCAGCTTCAGGTTTTAGAATTGCTACCTCATTTTGAGGGTAATTATAAATCTTGTCAACTTAGTGTTCTAGTGTACCTTTTAAAAATTGTGTTAACCATAACCAAATGGACTATATCCCTTATTGGATACATACACCGCTTGTCTGGAAGACAACTGGATCATAGTTGACGTGCTACAATTGTCCGTTTTTTGACACTTCATTTTCTGCATGATGAAGAGACACATTGTAATTCCACCACTATTCATATTTCTGATTTCAAAATATAAGGAGGATGGTTTGCCTATTGTAAAACTTTCATTGATGGGAGTTATATAATTGAACTTCAACTTGTAAAGATATTTTTTTAAGCAAAAAATAAACAAAATTAAATAAAAATTCTAGAATTTATTCGAGAATAATTTGTTTAGCTTATTTTTTTCAAGGTTATAGCATATGAAGAAATTATCAAATGTGCTGACCAAAGGCTCGAGATATCGCACTCCCAGATTGCACAGTAAGTTGAAAAAGCTTAATTTTCAATTTTGTAAACATTTACTGTTATTTTCTTTTCTAGCTTGCAAAATTCATTTTTCTTAGGCTCCTAGAAAGAAAAATGGGCCATTTGATAAATTAAGACCATTCTTCAATAATATAGTCAGTCTTCACAATATCTGGACTACATGAACAATGAGATTTTCATCTTCCTTTCTCAAAGCGCTTTTTGATTTCAGGGGGTAGGGTGGGGTAGGTGGGTAAAGGAATTAGAGACTTCCAAAAATTTTAGAAGCTATTGCCATGGTATTCAAGTAAAATAACCTTGCAATGCTTAAAATTTATTCACAAAACATTTTTGAATGCACACCAAATGAAACATACATAGATATATCGATACCAAATAAGGTTTCTAATTAGAATGAGATTCAGCTTGAGACATTCCAAAATTAGTGTTTTTAAAATCTGCCAAGTTTTTCCACTTATTTATTATCCTCATTTCTCATATGCTTCTTCCTCCATCCTTCCTCCCATTTTATTTATACTGTGCTGGCTATCTCTAGAGCTTAAGCACCGCCCAAAATATGAACTTTCTATAGGGTTAACTCACCACAAGATAATTGAAAGACAGTGTAGGTATTTGTACCTTGCGAGTTTGCTTTTGTTTTTCACTGTTGTTTCTAAGCAGAAAGAATGGTAAAAACAATTTTCCCATTTTTCAGAGTAATGCAGGCAAGTTTTAAATTTAGAAGGGGGAAGGGGAATGTTGTTTACTTCAAGAGAAGTAAAATTAGACTGCTTCCTAGCTTAGAACCAAGAAAACTTAGTCCAATCATCATGGGCTCATGAATATAAAAATAAAGAATAACCCAATATTTTAAAAACAGCATCAGACCATCACTTTGACTTTATTGCTTTGCCCCAGTTATTTTTAAAAGTCAAAATTTTTAAAAATCATATTTTAGCCGAGTGATTGATCTGGTTTGTGTTCAAGAAAAGACCTGGCATCTTAGTTCTATAAACTTCATCAAAAAGGTTGCCACCTGTGGCTACTTAGTAAAATTTCTTTGAATGCTTTTAAAAAATATCCAATGCCCACGCCATAGTCCTAGACCAAATAAGCTAAAATACCTGGTGGGACCTGGACAGAGGCACGAGGTGTGATCAAACAACATGGTGAATGTTTAAATTAAAAAAATTTATTACAGTAAAAGACACATTGCCATTAACCCCCTCAAAATACTCCCCACCCCTCACCCCCCACTTCGAATATAGTTCTTTCAACTTTTTGAAGCTGTTATGGAAGTCCTCTTTCGTGAGTGCCTTTAGTTGCACTGTCGTGGCTGCCTCAATGTCCTGAATGGATTCAAAATGTTTACCTTTCACGGTCATTTTGACTTTGGGGAAGAGCCAGAAGTCGCATGGTGCCAGATCCAATGAATAAGGTGGATGAGGAAACACTGTAATGTGTTTTTTTTTTTACAGAAATTGCATATACCAGAAGCTATATGTGACACAGAGCATTGTCACAATGGAGGATGATTTATGGCACACTTTAAAACACACCTGTCACCATGGCTCATACCAACTGACTACACTGAACACGTTGACTGATTTTTAACTAATGTACAAAGGCAATGAAGTGGAAAAAGGATAGTCTTTTCAACAAGTGGTGCTGAAATAATTGGAAATCATTTGCAAAACAAACAAAACCAAAAGCAAACAAACAAACAACTTTGATTTATACCTTGTAGATTTATACCTTGTATAACATACAAAAGCAACTCAAAATGGAAAATAGACCTAAATATAAGTGCTAAAAGTATAAAACTTCTAAAAGAAAATATAGGAGAAATTTTCGGTGACCTCAGTATTAGGTAATGATTTAGATAAGATACTAAAAGCATGATCCATAAAGTAAAATTTTGACAACTGGATTTCATCAAAATTAAAAACTGCTCTTCAAAAGGCACTCTTAAGAGAATGAAAAGACTAGCCACAGTCTAAAAGAACATATTTACAAGTCTCCTCCTAGGGGGAGGAGATGAATGAACCACAAAACACCAAAGATTTATTCCATGCCATTTCATCATATAAAATATGATAGATGATGGCTTTTGGTATACAGAGGACATATTTAATAAATATTAATATTGTCCTGTATTCCTTGGTTGGACAACTTCTCCTCTTTACCTGGTCCATATGATATTTAAAATATTTTTGAATTATTGCCAAAGTTTTTTTTTTGTTTTTTTTTGTTTTTTTAGCTGAGCCATCCTGCTACCTGTTGGCAGCTCAGCGGCTGCTCAGCGGCTGCTCAGCTCGGGCTGGACTTGAACCGCTGTTGCTCAGAGCTCAAACTCTTGAGCGAGCTCTTAACCAACTGAGCCACTCGGCCGGCCCCATCATTCTTTTGTTTTGTTTTGTTTTGTTTTTTTAAGCTGAGCCATCCTGCCACCGGTTGGCAGCTCAACAGCTGCTCAGCTCAGGCCGGGAATTGAACCGCTGTTGTTCAGAGCTCAAACTCTTGAGCGAGCTCTTAACCAACTGAGCCACTCAGCCGGCCCCGCCAAAGTTTTAAAAGGACGATTTTCTGTGAAAATTTAGATTTCCCTCTCTTCTTTAAAAATAAGATTGGCATCATTACTGCAAGATTCCCACATGGCAACAGTTGGCAAGAGCTGAATAGCAACTTCTTCCTTTAGGAATAGGGGTATATGATCTCTGGTTTGTCGGAATCAACATTTATCTGGCTTCAGTCATGTCAAATACTTACCTGACTTTCCCATAAGCATTTGAACTTATAAGCCTTGCAATAGAATTTCCTATCCCCTAAGGGTCTGTTTACCCTGTATAGCAGGCTGAATAATGACCCCCAAAGATATCCAGATCCTAACATCTGGAACCTATGTATGTTTCCTTACATGACAAAAGAGACTTTGCAGATATGATTAAGGTTCTTGAGATCTCTATCTCACCATTATCCTAAATTGTCCACCCAAACCCTAAATACAGTCACAATTGTCCATATAAGAGGGAAGCAGAGAGAAATTTGATGACAGAGAAAGGCAATGTGACTGTGGAAGCAGGGGAGAAAAGGCCATGCGATGAGGGACCATGAGCCAAGGAATGAGGACAGCCTACAGAAGATGGAAAAAACAAAGCCAAGGATTCTCCACTGGAGTCTCAGGAGGGAGCACATCCTTGCCAACAGTTTGATCTCAGCCCCGTGAAACTGATTTCAGACTTTTGGCCTCCAGAACTGTAGGAGAATAAATGTGTAGGAGAATAAAGCCACCAGGTTTGTGGTAATTTGTTACAGCAGCCACAGAAAACTAATTTCCCTCCCTGGATGGGAAAGTGAGTTTGGGAGACTATCTTAATTGAATTTGCCCTCTTAGGGGCAACAAGGGAACCCGCAAGTATCTCTTTTGCTAAAAGTCATAAAAAAAGAACACAAATAAATCTCTAGCAGGCCACCTGAATGCTGTGATCCTTCATGTAACACTATTACACATTTTGCCATGGTAAAGCAGTTTACAGATCAGGGGTTTTATTTTTAACAGGTTACCACCAGGATCACGCTGGGTTTACTCATACAGAGCCATCAATTCTCTATCCACTGCATAAACGAATAGAACACCTAAATGTCACTTTATAGGTTTACTACTGTCTCGTTTTCCTTCATCACCACTAGAACCTCTAAAGGAAAAAACGGAGTAAATCATTTGAGGTGCTAAGAAAGAATCCCAAATACCCACATAGTGAGATGGATGGATGATGCGGAAAAAGTTAGACCACCATTTGAATTGATCTACTCAAACCCTTCAATGAATCTAACAAAATATTAGTTTAGAAAAGTCAATATTAATCATAAATTTTTAATGGTTTCTTCTTTCAGTTTAGAAGAGAGAAATAAATATTTGGATGGTTTAATTAGGAAGCCCAGAGAAAGAGCCAGAAAACCAAGGTAAGGTTTTTTTTTTCTTTTTCTAAATAATGTCTTTAACTTTAGAATATATGCATAATAATAAGTCATATATTAAAAAAACTTTTTACCTTATCTCAATTTAAAATAAAGAAGGTAAATTAGCCTTTGAAATTATTGGATCCGGAGGTTTCGATGTCCACGCTCGGTCCCAGGAAAATGAAGTGTTAAGAATGAAGGAACTGTGGTTAGAAACAGAAAGATCAGGAAGAGAGCTACTCTGCCTCCACAAGTATGTAGAGCTCAAGGGAGAAATGTCCCTTGAGGTCGCGCACAGTATGCCAGACGTCGCTTTGCCCTCTACGCGGATTTTCTCACATAATACAGCATCCTAGCCAGGTTATGAGCCTGTGGATTCCAGGAGAGCATCTGGGTTCCCGGTCCTCCCGAGCAGGCCCTCAGTTCCCGGTGGGCGGAGCGCACAGACTGCTGAGCAAAGGTACCTACGCGGAGCCAGTAGGCGCTGGGGCGCCGGTGTATTTGGCGCCGGTGGTGCAGTACCTGACCGCGGAGATCCTGGAGTTGGCTGGCAACGCTGCGCGTGACAACAAGACGACCAGGACAATCCCTCGCTGAGGCTGAGTCTTAGCCTTGCCTTTAGCTTAGTTGGTCACAGGCCATCTAGGAATCGCGTTCCCACGAAGACTATGAGTGTCTCCTTGTAGAGGAGCCCAAAGGTAGACGAGGTCCTGTAAGACATTCCGGTGATGCTCAGAAGTCATGAAAGACCAAAGGAAGAAAGAACGGCAGCCATTTTCCTTGCAGAGCCACAGCATTTGGAACAAAATAAGTTTTATTGAAGTACAAATTGCTTTCTACTTATTCACTGAGGTAATTTCATTTACCTCAACATTTTCCATAATTATAAAATTACATGGCTACGTGATATAATGTTAAATACTTATTAAAATAAACAACACTTTCTGTGGATTATCGTGTCCACTTAAATTAAAAGTAAAACAAATTTACCCTCTCGCCATCCTAATGAAGAATTAATTTTACTGAAGTGATGTTTTCTACCATTTATGTATATGTCCTTACTGCCAGCATTATGATTAACATGTCTATACTCGGGACTCAATAAATGTCTTTAGATCTGAAAAAAAAAGTAAATTATATGAAAGTGCTTGGTTTTTTTGCCTGGCATAAAATACTTGCTTGATAAATGCTTTTTGTAGGACCTGAATTGGAACGCCAGTTTCCCTGACCCCAAGGAACTTCTGATCACTTCTAAGGAAGATGCTATAAAGATTATGAGCTAAGATTTTGTCTACAATAAAACAGCTTACCCTGGTATAAATAGTTGGCAGACCAGATTTTATGACTGGATTTTCTTACACTAATGGTAAATCTTATAATAATACATCATTTTAGAAGACTCTCAGTATTTGATGCTACAAGGTATATTTGCAAACCTAGCAGGGTTGATTAAGACTGTAGTAGATGTTAAAATGGGACTCTTCCTGACCTAGTTCCTTTGGTGCTAATAAAACATTTACTTGTTCCCAAAAGGAGAGTGAGTTTCCTTATGTGCAGAGGTTTTGAAGGGAATTTCAAGGAACTTGTGTCATGACTCATATCCCTTGGCCAGATCCAATATATAAAAAGTGTGGAGAGCGGGTAAGATTGAAGAAGAGATTTCTTTGACTCTGTCATGTTGTGAGTTCCCATTATCCCCAAATAATTCTACCTCTTTTACCTAAAAGCTTGTGAGGGGGGTTTCCAGGGGATCCCTGAAAAAGCTTTGAAATGCTTTTCCTGAGACTTGGGAAACACAGGATCAGTGACTCACTCATGCCTGAGAAATCTAGAGCAAGCTGGGCAGCACAGCAGAGGGGGGCCGTGTTGGGGTGGCCTGTTCTCCCTGAGATTGTCACCAGGACAAAGCATGTATTCCATAGTTCATGCAGGTGAGAGTTTGTTATTTTGGGCTCTGCCCAAGGCTGCCTGCAGGGGTACCAGCATCAAGAAGCTGGAATGGAACACCAAATTCTTGGGGGCTGATAAAGAAATATCAAGTGACCCCCCAGAGGAGAGATGCATCAGCCTGGGTTGAGGAACTGTAGGACAGAGGTCCTTAGCAAAGGAAAGCTCCCAAGAGAGAATCAGCTGTGGCCATTTGCCAAGTCCAGAGATTCGGGAGCCACCCAGACAAGTAAGAGTGTCCTACCGCCTTCCTGTCCCTCCTGGAGGAGGTTGTGAGCAAAGAGAGGCAGAAACTGACCTCCAAGGGCAGGCAGCGGCCACCAACTAAAGCCTTAGCTGAGAGAGGGGGAGAAGTCCTACTTTCGAATGACGATTAAAGGATTGATTAATATTTAAGCCTGGATATACTGCTCACTGAATCGACACTGTTTTTGCCTCACAGTGAGGACTGACTGTTATCTTACGAGTGAGAAAAAAAATCACTGGGCCTGCATGGTGTTCAGCCAGTGGCAACGGGAAAGCATCCCTGAGTGAAAACGTCTAAAGTAGAAGGGGAGGCAAACATTAAATTGGCATTTTGATTATATCATGGGTCATGTTTGTTTGTTCAGCATACCATTTGAAAATCAAAACCCCTTAACAGATTTATATACTAGTATTTGCAAAGTAATAGATTAACTACAATTTTTTCCCCCTAATATGAAAGAGTATGATCTGATGTCTGGTGTATTATAGTAATTGCTAATTTAAACTGATTGAATCTTCTGAATTTTCTTCTAGAAAATTCACTAGTTTAGATATTTGTTTACTGTGTAAATAACATGTGGCCTATTTTCACAATGAACTTGAGGCTCATTACATTTAGCTTGGCCTTGAAGTAAGGGGGTGAAGTGGAGCAGAAGAGCCCTCAAAGCTGTTTCTTAGAAAACTTAAGACTTACAGCAGCCTTCAGCCACCAACATCCATGAAGCCTCCCACTGACCGACTGACCTCAAAAAACTCAGCATGGGAACACACTTCAGACTAGTTCTGCATCATTTCAAAATTACGGTGCTGCTTTCTTCAGATGTGTTCTGTAGAGGAAGGAGTGGGATAGAGGGAGATAAAAGGGAGCACTTTAGGGCCGGCCAAGTGGCATGTTGGTTAGGAGTTGGCTTAGGATGCCAGCTCTGAGAAGCAGGGCCCAGGTTCGGACCCCACATGAGGGCCTGTGACGCTGCGCCCTCTACAGCTAAGATGGTGAACAACAGCTTGACCTGGAGCTGGGCTGCTGTGAGTCGGCAGCAACAGTGTAGGCTCTAGTGGGGCTGGCCGGCAGCTGCTGTGAGCTTTCGTGAGCTGCCATGAGCCGCTGTGAACAGCCCTCCAACCTGGAAAGAACGCAATGATAATACCAACATGGGTCAGTGAAGCGACGTCCTCCACAACGAGATTGAAGAACAAAAGGACAGCAACTTGTCTGTTCCCCTTCCCCGATTCCCCAACGCTGTTCCCTCCCCCAATTCCCCAATAAAATCTTTAAAAAGAAAAAAAAATTGAGCACTTTAATAGTCTCAGATGTCTTATTGTGCCACTAGATCTTTATCATGTTCAAGGAAACTTGTTAAAGTTTTCAAGTCATAGCCAGAATTTTAACCTAAGTAAATCTATGAGAATGTTAAAACGTAATGAGACTGTGGCTCAATATATTTATTTAATTACAGTGAGAATGATCCATATATTACATTCTGAAAGCTTTATCTTAATCTTTTAGGGTCTTATAGTTCTATTCTAAATGACAATTTCTCCTTGAACATGAGGGAAAGACTATGTTAAATAATGGCATACTTGTTCACTATTTTAGTCTTCCTCACCACCACCGCCCCCTTTTTTTTTTTTTAACATTATTGTATTTCTATTTCCCACAGATCAGGAAGATTAGAAAATCATCCAAAGTCCATGACTGTGGTAGGTCATACTGATTATTATTATAAGGAATATTATGTTTTCCTGTAATTTGACAATAGCACAAGATTAAATAGGAGTTCCTGAAGTTACATTTCAGAAATGTTCAGCCCAGCTTTCCCCTCTGTCCTCAGATGAGGGCCTCTCTGGCCTCTGATCATAGTTCTTCCTGTAATTGGAAGCCCCTCTCTCTGAATCTTGCCTTATATTGGTCCTCATAACTTCATTCCCACAGCTACTACTTCATATCAAGCCTTCATCATATTTCTTCTGGCCTATTACAGTCATCTCCTAATTGGTGTTTCTGTCTCCAGTTTTGCTCCCCTTCCTCCCAGCCTCCACAGAGTAGACAGAGATCTTTTAGAAGCAAAATAGGATTATGCCCCTCCCCTACATAAAACCCTTTGATGGTTCTCAGTTGCATTCAGGGTCAGATCCAGTTTCCTTAGCTCAGCATGTAAGGCCTTCTATGATCTAGCACTTGCCTTCCTATCCAGTCTTCTCAATCACTGCTTCCTCCTTGTTATCATACTCGTACACACCAGCCATACCTAACCACTTGCAATTTTCTAAACATGCTGTTATTTTTATGCCTTCCTGTCATTGCCCATGCAGCCTCCCCTACCTGGAGTGCTCTCTCTTGACTCCTTTTCTCCCCCTTACTTCAGTTCCCAGCGCAAGCTCCATCTCCTCTATGAAGCCTTTTCTCCCCTGTGTGCCAGATGGAACTGACTTGCTTCCTCCCATGTGCCCACACTGTACCCTCTGATACAACAGCACCCACAGCATTTCATTACAGTTCTCTGCTTACATGTCCCTTGACTTAACTAGAGTTCCTTTAATGCAGGGATTATCTCATATTCATTTTGGTATCCCCAAGCACCTATCTCACAAGAGGTACTAAACAGGATTGAATGTTAGATGGGGTGGGGACCCAGGACCAATGCTACACCCTAGTTCCTAATAGAAGATTCAGCTGCTGCTGCCCCTGTTCCACCCAAGGCCATGGGGATGTATTCATAAACACTGTGACATAGCTCTCTGGAGGAGGGGTACAATCACAGGTCTTCTTTACTCCATATGCCCCTTTGAGACACAGCTGTTGGAATAGTACAGTAGCGTTATGAGGATACCTTAATACTACTAAGTCTTAGTTATACTGTGCTGATGAGTCACTTCATGAATTTTTCAGATTCTTGCTTCTGTCCCTTTTTCTTCATTCTGCCAGTTGGCAACCAAACCAAGGAAGATGAAACGCAACCAACCTTGTCATGTTCCTTCATGGAAAGAAGTTTGAAACAAACAAAAATAATGATTAAAATATAGTATTGGTATTATCTATGATGTTCATTTATCTGTAGGTTTTCCTTGTGTCCCTTTTCCGTATGTAATCAAGAATTAGCTTCTCTGTCACTGAATGCCTGTCTTTCCTGAAAACTTAAGAAACAGTTTTTTTCCTTTCATTTTTAGATGCCAGCTATTTTAGAAGGAAATAGAAATGACTGAAGATTAAACATTGATCATTTTTGTCAACTACTCCAGGAGCAGAGTCACTACTAAGTATAGTACCCAGATCAATCTATACAAATGATACATTAAAATTGTATAAATGGTGAAATTTTACATTCCAAAAGTTGTGATTACTTTCCTTCTAATTTCTTCCCATACACAGTCAAACATATTCTACTTCAATCTAAACAGATGAATACAGTGGCTTATTTTCCAAATATCTATTCTCATTTTCACAGAATCCCACTCCCATATTATCAGGCCTTCAATGATACAAAAATAGTCATGTATCTAATTTCAACTTTTTGTTCCCTTTTGCAGGACATCCTTTTTCTCTGCAGGCAGGTAGGCTCTTCCTACTACCAACCTAATTTAAAAGGACACTAATTTTGAAATCCTTTGGAATTAAACCCCAAATGAAAAGAGAAGACTGGTCTTTTGAGATATAATTCTTATAATTTACACCTTAACATAGTTTTGAAGAATTAGTTCCAAATTTAAACAAAAGAACCAGAGGTAGCTTATTTTGTGAGATGTATCAGAAAATAAATGAACATAACATCCATATTATCCTTTTGATAAATCCCAGAGCCAGGATGGAGGTGTAACTATTGAATCAAAAATATACCTTGAGTGAAAGGGAAGAAATTAACCACAAGATTACCACGGGGATAAGAAAGACAGTTTGGGGAATATAATCAATAATGTTGTAAAGATTATGTAGGATGTCAGATGGGCACTTGTCTTATTAGGGAGACCACTTCATGGATTGTGTAGCTGCCTGGCCACTGCAGTGTACACCTGAAGCTGCAGCTGAATAATATTGTATGTTAACTATAATTTAATATAAATATAGTCACAGGATGTGGAGTACAGCATAAGGAATAGAGTCAATGGAATTGTAACAGCCATATACGATTTCAGAAGGGTAGTAGATTGGGAGAAGGAAGTTATCACTTTGTGGGGGGTGTAAATGTCTATTACATTGTTTTGTACACCTGAAACTAATAAAAATAAAACTTACAATTAGGGAAAAAAAGGGAAGAAATTTTTATCTCACTGTAATAGTTTTGCACTTAAATTAGTCAGGTAAATACAAGAGGAAAATATATAGAGAATATATATCTGGCCCTGAAGGAAGTACTGATTAAATTAAAGCTATTATTATTGTTATATTTGTTGAGGAATTCTATAAGACAGGTCTTATATGAATTTAAAATATAAAATTTGTTAATTTCTCAAATTCAAAATGTTGCAATAAAATTTAAGACAAACCATCAGAAATGCACAGTGAATTTGCAGGCATAACAGTGTTTTGTTTCAGAAAATTAAGCATTAAAAACTTTGGAAGTGCACAAGTTTTAAAAAGAGACATTGTTATTATTATTATCAGTTTCATAGGATCCTCTAGGGAAAGTTAAAATATAATAGGAGAAAAACAAATATTAAGATAAAGATGACTAATGCAGCATTTGGAATCTGCACACAAAGGTGATGAAAATGTTGGAATGGAAGGATTAACAAGTTGTTTATAACAGGGCTGTGTGCCTCCGTGCTACATTTGACGTGTGTATTATTAGAAATGTATGATCGTTTACCTACAAGCCATCTCAGAATGAGTATAAGCCAGTCCTTCTTTCAATAAACATTTAGTGACTTTAATAAATGATGTGACAGCCTCTGTGTTAGATGCCAAGGATACAAAGAAAAATCAGGCAAATATCACCAAGGACTACATAATCTATTGGGGGAGAACAGACAGATAAACTTGGGTCTAGAATGGTAGAGGCGTAACTGCCCATGGTGCTCTAGAAGCATAGATGAAATGGCCCTGGGCTGTGTGGGAAAACCTTGGGGAAGATTTTACAGAAATGATGACACCTGAGCCAGATCATTGTAGTTGACAAGATATTCTGCACATGGATAGAAGAGGACAGCAGGACAGCAACAGCACACTCAGAGCGTGGAGGCCTGAGATACCGTTACAGTCCCTGAACCACAAGTGATGTCTAAAACCCATGTTCTTCCTGTGGCAGGAATGAAGACGATCATGAATAGCATTATATGCCATGTTAAGAAATTTGAACTCCATCATTATAAGAAGGTCTGAAGGATTTTAAGTACAGGAACGATGTGGTCAGATATACATTTTTGAAAGATCACCCTAATGATATAAAGGGTAGGTTGATGGTGAGTGATGCTAGAATCAGAGTACCAGTAAAATACTGCTACGAGAAAAACTGACGCGTAGGACAAAAATAGTGGTGGAAATAAAGAGAAAGATAGGGATACAGAGTGATTTTAAGGGTGAAGTGAAAACGATTTCGGAATTTGTTAGCTATGGGAGTGAAGAGAGAGGCACCTAGGAAGCCTCGCAGGGTTCTGGGTGGGTGGTGGTCATCTTAACCGAAGGAGACAATACACGAGGGACAGCTGCTTTGCTGGGAAAGATATGCTGAGTGTGAGGTTGCTGCGAAACATCGGAAGACATTTAGTAAGTCGTTAAATATATGATGAGAAGGAGCCCGTGGTTTGGGAAGGACCTAAAGATAAAGGAGAGAGTATGGATCGAGGTCTCAGAGGAGGTAAGAGGGACTAGGTTCCACAGCACAGCACAGGAACAGGGACACCTCTTCCTCTGAGACCAGAAGAAAGGAAATCAGGACAGGCATGTTCAGGGCAACTGTGAGCTGTGATGTGCTATGCTGAGGGAACTCATGGCTGAAAGCTTCACCCTTCTTACAGCAGGAGGGGAGAGGCGAAGGTTTAAGCAGCCCAGCTTCCGCCGGCACAGAGCAAACTTTGGCTCTCACCACAGGATATTACAAGGAGGTACAAGTTCCTCTCCACCTCACAATTTCTCCATTTTTATCTACTTTCTTCCCCTTCCCTCCATTCCCTTGTTCCCTTGATTCTGGTTTCATCTTTTTGAGGACTTGCTTCATCAATAATTTTTATTCTCTCACATCTTTAGTTTATAATTCTTTACTGAATTCTTACCATAGCCTAAAAAAAAGAGAAATCCTTCCTGAACTCTCTTCTCTTCTAAAGCTATCATGGTTCCTGTCTTTTCACTCACTATTATATCTTATGAAAGATTGTTCTTTCCAATTTACAAAGCACTTTCACATATTATCTTAATCAAGTGGCTATCTCAACTCATAGTGTTTCTGATAAATATTTTTCCATAGCAGCAGTCTCAATAGGCCACTCGTTTTTAAAGGCTGTATAATATTTCATGGAATACACACACACACACACACACACACACACACACACACACACACACACACACGGGGTTCAAAAAAAATGTATATAAGTGGACACTTTTGTCAACATTGTTCAAGCGGTAGTTCGCCATAATCAGAAGTGTCTAGACGCTGATGGTAACCATTTTGAGCACCTGTTGTAATTGCAGAAGTCAAACATGACTTGTATTCATCTTTTGTTATCAGTATATATTGAGTATTATAATTTTAATGTTTTTTTCCTTTTTAAAAATGTGTATACATTTTTGGCACCCTCTGTACATATAATTTATT